AAAAAATAACTCATTTCATTTTTATGTCCCAATAAGTAAAACGTGTACGAAGTAGCCCCACCTTCCCCTATAGACTATCTTTTACTCTGACTGTATCGAACCAGTGACGTCAATCTGCGGGGTAATAATCGATACTATAGAGGCATAGGGAATTAGGTAACCTTATGTTCTATAGACCTTGTAACATATCTAACTGTCAAACGTCAGCTTTCGTTATTCAAAAAGAAAAGATGCATAAAAAATGTTGTGGGGTGTTCATTTGCCATTTATTTACCTAGAAAAGGTGCTTTGTTCTATTTAATTACTTTGTAGCACGTTTTTACAATATATTTATAAATACGTATTTACGTAGCAACGTATTTATCTAAAAATTGATTAATATTTTAACCTCAACTATTTAGTTACTGAAAATGTTACTAAAAATCAGGAAAACAACATAAATTATTTAAGGGTCCTAGATAATACCAACAGAAACCCTAAAAAATTGACATTGACAAGTATTATAGAAAAAAAACGAACTATACTTTGGAGTTCGCGTCCTGTAGTTTCAAACATTATTTTTTTTAATCAAAAATTTAAAAATATAGGGTTAATCAATTTTAAAAAACTTTCGAATAAATACTTAAATAATTTTAAAAAAAATACTAAAGGCCCTATTGCTAAAAAAATTCATCAACATGTCTTATCAAAATCAACTTAGTTTTGTGTGTAGAATCAGAATACACAATAAAAAACTATATCATTCCAGTTAAAATAAAAAACATATGCTATTTATATGTTTATTTCGGTACGTCGTTATGGAACACCCCGTAAGTATAAAAATATTTTCCGTTTATAGTGTAATAAATTTCCTACAACTTTTGTCTAAGGAAGAACTGCGTATCTCGGCTCCTTAATGCCATTCATGTACCTTTGACAACCCAGTATACCAGTATTGCATATACCAGTCATTTTAAAAATCTTTTGTAATAAGAGTTTTGAAGTATGACAATGTATTAAATTAACAAAAAGTAGTTTTGATAACTACCAATAGATTATTTCCATGTATCAATTTTAAGTTTTCAATTCCTATCGAAGTTAATCTATGTAAATAATGAAATGGTCACATCATTGACTATAGTCCATCAATGAATATAGGCAGCTATATATCATTGCCTCGCGAATTGATTATATTCTATTTGATAAGTTGCTACAAATTGAATATAACTTGCCAATATAGACATGTAGCATCATCACAAAAGTCAAGGCCATTTACTTGTACCAAACTTATTTGCAGAATAGAAAGAATACAAGTTGATATATATGTTTATATACTGTAGATATACAGTAATAAATCATTTGATACAAACAATGATCTTGACATTTGCGACAAAGTAATTCATTGTAATTATACGCCTCAAATACATAAAATAAAAGTAAATTGTTCATTTTACCATTTCATACATGACCACTCCAATTCCCCACCAGTCCACAGCTCTTCCATAATCGTTGTCTTCAATAACTTCAGGTGCTAAATACTCGGGGGTTCCGCAAAATGTCTTTGTCGTTCTTCCATACGTAATATCCTCTTTACAAAGTCCAAAATCGGCGATTTTAATGTGTCCGTCTTTATCCAAAAGGAGATTTTCTAATTTTAAATCCCTATAAATAATTCCTATTGAGTGTAAATAACCTAAAGCCGAAATAATTTCGGCGCCATAAAATCTTGTTCTATCTTCAGAAAAAATCCTTTCCCTCGATAAATGGAAAAACAGTTCGCCACCGTTAACATATTCCATAACAAAACATAACCTATCGTTTGTTTGAAACGAATATCTTAGGGAAGTTAGAAACGGATGATTTGTAGATCTCAAAACACGACTTTCCGTTTGAGTATGTGCCACTTCGTCTTTCTGTATGATAACTTCCTTTTTTAAGATTTTTATCGCGTACAATCTACCGGTTGCTTTTTCTCTGCACAAAATCACTTTTCCAAATGTTCCTTTTCCTAACACCTTCAAAAACTCAAAACTTTCCAACGTTACTTTTCTTCGTCCCGTTGACTTTGAAATCGATGTTCCTTGAACCGAAAATTTCTCACTTAAATCGTTTTCAGGCACTTCATCCAACGTTGAAACCATATCGATATCATCACAACTTTGATTTGAATTTGATAAACGCTCCGAAACTGATTTTATAGCTGCCACCCATTCCTCTCTACATAAATACAAGAAAAATAGAATCATTAAAATGGTTTAAAAGTAATTAAATAATTTAAATTATATAAGATAATGTTTTAAAATAAATCTAAACAAGATTGGTTTATAATTAACGCCAGGTTACATAAACTAGGCCTCTTAGCACCTTAGACAGATGTTTATAAGAACCTCCTGTCTTCTATGTTTAATAATATAAATATAGTTTTTCAGTGGTGGTTTAAAGTAACAATTGTTTTTTGTTTTAGTCAATAAAATTACAGTGACGTGCAAATAAATATGAATAAATCTGCATCAACCAATGTTGTGTACGGCGAATCCAATAGAGTCCATGATTAATTCCTAACAACTCGAAAAAGGATCAACAACTACGCGAAGAATGCACCAGATGTGGAAATGATAAAATCTAAGGGACTGATCCGAAGAAACCTCTCGGAGAAGATCGCCATAACATGCCAAATGACTCAGATGGATGAAAGTTCGAAACTAACCGAACTTTCGAGATTAGTAATCAGTCATGCGTTATCAATGTTGTCATTATCATACCAGCTGGTTCGCACCATTCAGTACAGCCGATTCAATCGAAGAAAAATTCTCTGCAGACAACAACGCATCTCCCAAAATCTGTAGAATATCGTTGCTACCAAGGGTAGCAAATATAATGTTTAAAGAAGACAATATTTACGTTTTGGCATCAAAATCTGGAAAATTAACTTCAGCACATATGAAAAATTGGCTACAAAATGTATATTTTCCAAATACTGGTTCCAAATCATTATTACTATTGGATTCTTGGGGTGGCCATTGCCCTGATGTTATTAGTGAAGTAACTCCATTAGATACTAATTTTAAACACTTATCCATACCTGCAGGGACTGGTCAAATACAGCCCCTAGATGTATTTGGTTTCAGGATATTTAGATCAGAGGGATAATATATTAAAATTGCAGTCCGTAACAGATAGCCAGTTGTCTTCCCCTCGGTTTATAAATGTTTTTAAATACGCATGGTTTGCAAGTGGATATCTAGATAAGAGACCAGATCATTTGTAAAATCCCGTGAAGGTTTGCTTTTACAGTCAACGTCTGATATTAGTGGGATGTAGCGGTCATAACATGTGCATGATGTCAAAAATACTTATATTTAAAACATTTTTCGACGACTATCATTTTTGCCAACAGTAAAAATAAATTTCACACTTTTAAACACGCAACATAAGAAACGTCAATTAGTAATGTAGAATAAAATTTTTTGGTTTATTCACCGATTTCATTTGTTAGAATCTGAGGAAAGATTCTTAGAAGAAGTACTGCAGAAGAACGGCTATACGATGAGGGATATCCAACGAGCCACCAAACCACGCAAACGGAAGGATGACTCGGTTAGTATGACACCAGCCGGTTTTATCTGGCTACCTTATGTTTCAGATATGACGGAGCAAAAGAATGATATTATGGTACGATACGGTACGGTCAGCAGAATACAAAACGCTCTTCCGATAGCCAAAAACAAACTAACCCCATTAAAGGGAGCGGGAGTCTATCGTGCAGTTGCGGGAAATATTACGTTGGCCAAACTGGACGTAACATCGAAAAAGTAAAATCCAACAATCTGCAGTCGCAGTGCATTGCCACAAAGGAGGATATACCATAGAGTTTAGGAGGATATACAAAACCAAAGTGCTAGCAAGAAACGAACATAATTTCCAAAGATTGACGAGAGAGGCCATAGAGATTCATAGACATGGGAATAACATGAATAGAGAAGACGGTTGGGAACTCAACCGCACACGGAAAATAATAGTGAAATCAACGAAACGTTATTAATCTTATTTTCATGTATTGGCGGATAATGTACACGTAGTACGTGTACAGGGTAGTTCAAATTCAATATCCAAATAGGCTAACTTGGAAACTATACAGTTAGAAAAAAAGTAGCTTACATGTCATGATCTCGTTTTTCGAGAAACTGCTAATCATCTGCTAGCGCCGAAAACCTTAAAGCGCTATCGTCTTTTGTTTTTCCCCTAAGGCCAAAATGGAAAATATCGTAAAATCAACATTTGCAATTATCTTGGTTATTATTATAGACAATTTTCGTTTTCTTAAATGGAAACAACCACTGATTATTCGCTTATTAAATTCGTTATTTTTTTCTGATTACAAAAATATAGGGTTTGACAGGTCTATTTCTTATTGTTTTAGAATAAAGCTAAAAATAAACTTTTTTTTAGTGTCGTCAAAGAAATTAAATTTACAGTTTCCTGTAAATTATGACTAATTGTGCGGTAAGTGTCTACACCGTCCCACGTTTTGTTTTCAGCAATAATAGCGTATTCTACGTGGCGCCTCCCTCTTTTTCTCTCCCCATTAAACTTTTTTAAATAGAATTTCATTTCTCGCCTATTGAGCACGCTCCTCTTCCCCGTCTCATCGTCAAAAATACTCAACTAAAATGACCCTAATATCGAAGAAAATCATAGATGGCTAATATACGAAAAGGTAAATTAATTTAAATAAAAGCCCAACATTCCAACGTTTTAACCACAAAGTCCAC